CTTATATTTTATACATATGATGCAATGTTTTACTTAGGGTGTGTTGGATATTCTTCTGTCAGAAGTGAAGAGTGATGGAACATCTGTTATAAGAGCTAAAGAGCAAGATTTTACTGGAGATGCCAGTTTTCTGAAAGTATTGGGTAAGTTTACACGAACTAAGTTGTTATCTTGCTTAATCACTCAGAGTGGATTTTTAGTTATAATTGAACTGGTTATTGTTTTTTTGCAAACCTTTTCAATGATGAAAAGTTTGTATTGAGATTTATGGAAAGATTATCTTGAAATGGTAGCACACATGGCTAGTGAACACAAAGTTTTGATTGTTAATTGACTGAGATTTGTAACTAAGATTAGAGGCTATCTCTGAGTGTGCTCACATCTATTTGATATATTGCATTTGTAAATGTTTGTTTGTTGTTGCTACCCAAGATCCTTGAAAAAATTACATTACTCCAATTTATTGTCTTCACAAGATCAGCTTTATAGTATCTGTCTAAAGAAAATCTACTCTATAGAGGTATATACAGCTAGTGATGTCTTTACCCTATGTATAAATGTTTTTGTGGTCAGAACTTTCTCAATCTGGTGCATTGCCTAAGTGGATTATAATTTAAATCTCACCTACTAATCAAACCAGATTTGATGCTCTAAAATATTCTTCTCTTCAGCCCTACAATAGGTCTCTCATCCACCCCTCTACCCATTGATATATAAAGTTTATCTGATGTATAAACTTATGTGTTTTCTTTATATCTCTTTTGTACAGTTGTCAGTGGTCTTTGTAAAGATAACTGCCCCAATGGTCACAATGTAAGTTGTTTATTAATCAACAATATAAAAGTTACCTGAGGATGTGGTTTGTCTTTTGAGAATTGGTTAAAACTCTTTGATATTTGCCAAGAATTAGATGGTCACAACTTTATTCTATAATAATTTGTTTTTAGTACTGGTGCAATATAAAAAAAAAATTTCTTTTCACAAACACCTTTGTCAGAGAAAATAGTTAGTTTCTCTTACTCTTTAAAGTTGAGGTGTGATTGGAATCTGAACTTGATATTAGTACAATTGATAAACATATGTTAATTACAATATTTGTTTTTCCATTTCTAAAGTTGCTTTTCATTAGTTCATGTTTATTTATTGTTTAATCCTGTTTTGACAGCTCAATATTATTCACAATACATTCAAAATAGTGCAAGAACTATAAAAACAAGACACATTTTTATTTCAGCCATATGGTGTAAACCAAGTAGGACCTACTGCCAAATTTATAAGCACTACACCAACTGGCAGTGACCAGATTTGTATAGGTTAGTGATATTTACAATAAGAAAATTTTCTTTAGGTCTATAATTGTCTAGCACATTTCATACCAGTACTTAAGCATTTTCTACTCTCTTATTATAGAAGGGTTCTCTCAATGTGACTTACTTTTGTACACTTTCTAGTATGCAATCCTTTTTCTTTTTAAACATTACTCAGCAGATTTTTAAAAATGTTTCTAGTAATCTTTATATTAATATATTGAAGCTATCAATTTTATAAGCATATTTGTTTACAGCTTCTCAACTAACTCAGTCGGCATATTTTGCCTTGCAACTTCCATTCATGTTATTTGGTCTTGGCCAAACACCAAACTTTGTTGATGAGCTGAACATTGGCATTCCATCGTCTGGCATTGTAAGTAGATCTTCAACATTTGAATATTCTACTGGTGTTTTTTTTGTTTATATTTAATGAAGAAAAAAAACATTAACAAAAAATTAGGGTCTTGAGAAATTTTTTTTCTTGACTGATATAAAATTAAGGCCAAGTAAGTTGTTTTCTAGTTCACTAAAGATAAGTTAGAATTGAAGTAGCATGACCACACTACCATCTACTCTTCAAAACTAACCATCTCATAGTTTCATATGAGCTTTTCAGTAAAAGTTGTGTTTTTTTTTTAACTCTACAGGCACCTAAAAGTCATTCTTGGTCAACAATAATTCCAAATTCTCAGGTTATTGTTATTCCTTATCCCATTGAAAATCCTGAAAGGTCAGTGAAACAAAACTTTTGAAGATAATCATTTTTAGTACTAATTCATACAAATTAAATTATGTTGAGAGTAACTTGATCAAACTCCGCTTGGTATATTTTGTCTTATAATTAAAAAAGCTTGTTGATTTTTTAATGATTTAGGCAGTTACAATTATTGTCATACCGTAATTATGATATTAATCCACTGTTTCCCAATGTGGATATTTTTGCTGGCCTTATAGAACAACAATGCCTATAATTTCTAAATTAAAATCTCAGTTTTCGCTTAGATTTAAAAATGAGACATAAGGAATGTTAGTTATGCATGACTTTAAAAAACCATTTCATATGAATTGTACCATACTACTTTCATTTAGTTTTTTTATTTAAAAAAAAAATTTCGTTAGAGAACTATGCTTAGTTTAACCAATTCATTTATTAATGCTCTATAAAGGGTACCCATAATGCTTCAAATACTTTTTTTTTTATTGAAGAACAAATTTTCCAGTTTCATAAAGAAAATAAATGAAACAAACTTTTCACTATTTTGGCTTGATACTGAACTTTTTTGTATTTTTTTCTTAATAAAGGATAGCCTTAGTCCTTAGTTCTGCTGTGTAAACTAGCATTAAATCTAATTGTAGATTAGGCTAATTTGCATTCTAAAGTTACTAAAACTATATTTTTATGTCATTTTATATTTTAAGCATTTTTTTTTAAAATTCATTTTTATCATTTTTCAATAAAGAAAAGTCACAAAATATATTGGATTTTTAAAGTATTCTCCATTTTCTTTTAATCTTTTGTTGGTTGGTTGGTTTTGTTTTTGTCTATTTTTTTAAATTTATATTTGACTTGTTTATTTGTTCTGGCAGCTGGAGACATGAACTGTATGTTACACCAAGTCGACTTGTTCTCTTGACTGGAGCATCTTTACTGGGTACCTGTGCATTTATAGCAGTTATTGTTGGTTTACTACACTGGCGAGAGAGGGTGTGTACTAAAAAAAAAACATAAAATATATCCTGCTTCATACCTTAAATATTATAACTTGCATATATGGTTGTTTTTTTTTATTAAGATACACAAAAGATTTTTTTTTAAGTAAAAAAAATAGCATGATATGCTGAGTACTATTGTTGTTTTTTTTTTAGAAGAAAAAAGCTAAGATAAAATATATCTTTAAGCATCTTACTGTAATATTCCTCTTCAATATGAAATATTTTAATTGTACACTTTCACACTATTAAAATAATTTTGACAAGTACTGGTATCACATATCAAACTCGTCTAATGCTTAAAATATTACATTTTTAAAAATTACTTATGCAGTAATTCGAATACACTTTTTAAAATTAAAATTATATATGAAAGAAAATTAGTTGTCTTTTTTTCCCTTTTTTGTAGATTCAATTAAAATTTTTTAATATTATGATAATCAGAAACACAAAAAACAAATATTTTCAATCAAGCTAGTTATTTTTTTTTTGGTGATGGCTGAGTAGTAAAACTTTTAGCTTCCGAACCAAGAATTCTTTGGCTTGAATCCTAGTAAAGACTGAGATTTTGAATTTTGGGATATTTAGGGCATCCTTGAGTCCACCCAACTTTAATGGGTACCTGATATGAGTTGGGAAAAAGTAAAGGCAGTCATTGTTCTGGACACATGACACCCTCATTAACCATGGGGCCACAGAAACAGATGACCTTTACATCATCTGCCCAATAGTTGACTTTATTTCTACTTAAATCTATTACATTTAGATTAAATGCATTTGTTTTAACTATTTAGCTTTCTTTATTTTATGCCAAGTAATTGTGATTTATTTTCTGGACAGATTGAAGACAAAAGAGAAAAGCTACAAGAATCTCAAAGATTTCATTTTGATGCCATGTGAACTGTTTGTTACATATTTGATGTTTTTATTGTGAAAAAATGTGATAACTTGAATTCCTAAATGTTCCTAAATATATATATATAATTGTTTTCTTTTTTAAATTTTATTTTAAAACTTTGTTTGTATCGTAAACTAACATGATGTCAAGTGACATTGCAGCTATTTGCATTACATGAAACACTTTTTCCATTTGCATGTTTCCACCAGTACTGAGAGTTCAGTCACAAATTGTGCTAAGTCAAACTTGTCTAAGCTTACTTCCATGTTTAATCAAGTTTAATTATTGTTCATTCCTAAATTTATTTATGACTAAATTTTTGCAACACCTTCAACTAAAAAAAGTACTATAAATAGACATTGATTATACAATTATTTTTTGGGGTACCTTCTTTTCAAGAAACTGGGTTATGGAAGCTTTTTTTTTTTTCAAAATAATTGAATAATTATATGAACATTCTAAGGATTTTTGTAACACTCAATATGGATAGATGTTGTGAAACTTGCTGCTTTTATATTAAAATTTAAAAGTAATCAATTTAAATTGTATATGAACTACCTTATTCCATTATTTTGTAGTTGCATGTATATTTGTAATTGCAAAATTAAAATATGCATTTCAATAATGTTTTTTGCATAATTATATTTTAATGTACCTGTTTGGTGATCTTTGCTATATCAGTCCCAGTAGTTTAGCATCAATAACTGTGTTTTAAACTCTGTATATTAAATAAGAAATAAAACTTTTCTAAACAGATCAATGTTAGGTTAATATTAATATTTTATTTATATGTTTAGAATAAACATTACTAATATTCAAACTGCCTTTAAAAAAAAAAGTGATTCCACTGCACAATGCCTCCATTGGATTCATGTTATTTAAATCTGCTTTATGAAATGTATTTACTTAACAGCATTACAGAATGGAATGAAAATATTTGTGTTCTTTCTTTATAACTGTTTGCCCTCCTTGTTACAGTCACCAATAATACAGTAAAGCAGGGGTTGCAAATTATGGGCCGCAAGCCAAATGCTGCCAGCGGACACTCACAGAAATCATATATATATATATATATATATATATATATATATATATATATATATATATTCCCCCCGCCCCCCATTAACAAAATTTAATGCAGCCCTCGATAGCAAAAGGTTGCCCACCCCTGATGTAATACACTGTCAATGTGCTTCTGTGCATATCAAGTAAAGCATTGATAAATGCTGACAAAATTGTAACAAAATTTGCTTTTTAATAATGAAATTTTTTTTGTTTTGCTTCTTTTGAGGAAATCATTACTATAAATGTTCTGCAATAATAAAAATATGCTATACATACATTTCCATTATTTATTTTCTTGTAATGTAAAAAAAACAACAATTATTTCAAAATAATACTTTTTCTTTTCTTATTTGACTTAATTATATTTTTTTTGTAGTCGTATTTTGGTGCAATAAATAACTAAATCAACAAATCATTGTAGTGATTGATTTCTTACTTTAGTAGCAGAATTATTATTTTTGTATTCAGATTATAATTAGTTTATATTTCTGCTATATAAAATATAGCTTTTGTATCCCCCTAGTCTCCTGATTTAGTTATGAATTAGCAAAAGAAGTCACCACTAAGCAATGCAAAACTTAGCCTATGTATAATGACAACGAAGTATGTATGTAGTGCTTTGATACACATTTTGACGCCCTTACGCTTTGGCGCCCAGGGAGGGTTCCCCACCCACCATTCCTTCGGTACGTCACCATTCAAGGGCCAGATAATTGCGTGGTGTGTGTATAATACAGCAATATAGCCGCTCCACTGGAAGATGGAACTTAGTTGTGTTGGGAAGCGTTATAATGATGGCCGTTCCACTGAAGAAAGCATGGGGAAGGGCGTTTCATTGGAGGTTGAACAAATAAATGAGTGGTGACGGAAGGCCTACTAACTTTTTTTTTCTGACACCAATGGTAGGCCTAATGATAAAAAAAAAAAAGATTAAAATAAAAAAATACCCGTTTAATCAACTGTTATAAAGTGTTTTAATTTTTGTCAAATGTTGACTACTAAATTAAAAATAAAATTATTTAGCACTTAGAATGTCTTAGATTATAAAAAAAAAAAATCGTCCAGGACGGCTCCCTGGTCGTATGGTAAGCGCTCCAGACTATCGACACAGTAGTCCTGAGTTCGAATCCAACCCGCCGGTGGCACCGCCATCTATTTTGCGCTGTCTAAAAACTCTTATATGATATTTATTGATTAGAGCACACGAATGCGGCCCATTACATAATATTAGATCTTCAGAATAAAGAAATGCTGGTACGCTACAATCTTTACTTTATATTTAAAAAAATGAAAACTAATTTCATAAGAAGTGCTCCAGAAAAGTTGGTACATAAAGTGTGATTGAACATCAGTTAGATTACATCTACATCTAATCTTAGATCTATATAGATCAAGATATAGTAGAAACTCTTCTCACGTCGGTGACCACGCGACAGTGATTTCCGGTTAAACATTTGAGCCCACGGCGACGCTTGTTGCGAAGGAAAAGCGGAAATGTAATTACGCCTATATGAAATACTAAACCGCAATAGTAATAATCTTAAAACTGTCTCTTATTTTTTTATGCGATGATTGAAATAAAATAAAATAAATATTTTTTTACATTTTCGTTTGTTTTTATTGCTACAATTAATATTTTATTGATATTTTAATAGTTATCATAGACAGATATTTAATGCACTCATTCGTAGCAACATGTATTAATACACCGGAAGAAAAGTCCCCTGACGACGTACAAAATTAAATTTTCACCAAGAGATAACATCACTTGACTACAAGATCGTCGAGTGAGGTGGTTCTGTAGGGAGTTAGTAGGTTAAATAAATCTTTATTTAACTATTGTCATCCATTACATCTTCCATTTAACAATAATAATGTTTAAGAACACTTTCCAAAGTGGATTTTTGTCTATACTGTACAGTATTGGCAGCAAACCACTACAGATTTGGGACAAAAAGGTATGTGCAAGATTTTTGTTTTCGTCATAAAAAATATCTAGATCTAGATCTAACACTAATAACAGTAACAGTAAAGTTGATTGTATTAAACATTACAACAGTGTGCCTAGCAACGTTCATCATCTCTTTCGGAAGTAAAAACACTATTGTCTATTCACTCTATTGGCATACTTTTTCTATGTTTGTATTTAGTTCTAGATTGACTTGATAATGTCAGACAATAATATCTACTAAATCTAGACTCTAGTAGATTTAGATCAAATTTAATTTTAGTGTAGTACACAGTGACAGTGTAATGATTGTAGTAATATAATTTTATTTCTAGATTTAAGGATCCTAGATAGTAGATCATATACTAGATTACTAGATCTAGAGTATAGACTACTTAAACTAAAAAATCTTGTAGATCTTTACATCTAGTAGGAGATGAATAAATAGGCCTACTTTTAATTTGTAACTTTCAACTTTGACAAACCACAATAAGTGACAATAATTTAAATGCATTAAATATGATTTATGGTAGAAAAAACAAGATCTAGATTAGAAGTATATCTAGACAGCCAAGATCTTTAATTGTTGCTATCAAATGTTTATTTATAGTTATACCACTGTAAGGACTTATCTTGTTAAATCTTGTCAATCTAGATCTATTACTATTGCATCTCTAAACACTGAAATGAATTTCACTTACAGAATTTTCTTTTAGTCGTCTGCATTGCTTTGAGACTTTCTACCATAACCAGTTATCCTGTATCCCTTCCTGTAGTTAAGGAAACTGTTAATGTAACAAAAAAACAAATTGAGTGTCCCTGTATGTATTGGAAGATTCAGAAAAGGCCATTCCAATGGAGGTAGCCTTTTAACAGTGTCATTACACCCAATTCAGGAACAACTTTTAACTTCTACTTTGATGTGGATGTTATTCAAAATTCGCTCATGGTTGTCTCACTTGTTGACTAAAATGTTCCTTGAACAAGTAGGTTTTATCTTTTTTTTGTAACATATTTTTAAATACTAAGTTTTTATCCTTTTTTTTACAGGTACGAAATGGTCACATCAAGCGTATCACAGATAATGATATTCAGTCTCTTGTTTTAGAAATAGTTGGCACCAATGTCAGGTAAATAAAAGTGTAAAATTTTATTCTTTCATAGTATTAATCATAATATGATTGAATAATCTTTTATTATGAATTTTAGATTTTCATACAGTTTTTGAAGTTAATATGATGCTCACTTACTCACTATGATAAGCAGAAACAAATAAAGACACATTTCTTTGTACCTAGTGAATGAATGGGTTTAGGTGACATGTCTAGATTTCAGTAGTAAAGATTATGCTTTTTATTTTTAAATGAAATATTCTGTATTTAAATATTTTTATTAGTTTTAACATGTCTCATTTTTTTTCCTACATTGATTAGCACAACATATATCACTTGTCCAGCAGACCCCAAAAAGACTCTTGGTATTAAGCTGCCATTCTTAGTCATGATAATCAAAAACTTGAAGAAGTACTTCACATTTGAAGTCCAGGTACATTTAAAAAAATTGTCTTTTGTTTGCTTTTAGACTTTGATGTCAATTGATATTCTTATTATTTTTATGAACATACTCGTTAAATAAGCTTGTTAAGGTATGCCTATAAAATAGAGAAAAAAAAACACAACTACATTCTAATTAAGTAATTTGAGCTAAGGTTTTTCTATGCTTAAAAATAAGTAAAACCATATAATCTTTATTCTTGGAACATGATGATGGCCAATATCACACTGTGAAAAACTTAATTGCATTGTTGATAAACATAAAACAATTTTATAAGTGTTCACAATAATATATTTACTTATTAAGGATATTTGCATTAATTTTATGTACGCACTACATTTTTGTCTAATAAAAATTATATATGTATCAGTATGAGATATAATAATTTCATTAGAAAGTTGCAGTATGAATTTTTTTTTTTCCTCAAACATTTGTTATTACATAATATTAATACGCTTATTGTTACCGTTTAGAGATTCTTGAAAATTACTTTCTTTTATCAGGTATTAGATGACAAAAATGTTAGGCGGAGGTTTCGTGCTAGCAATTATCAAAGCACAACAAGGGTAAAGCCTTTTATCTGCACCATGCCCATGAGGCTAGATGATGGCTGGAATCAAATTCAGTTCAATCTGTCTGACTTCACGCGTAGGGCATATGGCACAAATTATATTGAGACTTTGAGAGTACAGGTATTGCTTTTATGTAACATTATTTAAAAAAAGAGCATTAATCTATTTATTATTATGTATTCTTAAAAAAAAGTTTCTTTTTACATAAACATAAATAAATAAAAACAAACTTCATTTAACTTAGAAACATTTTTTGTTGATTTCATCAGATCCATGCAAACTGCCGAATTCGTAGAGTGTACTTTTCTGACAGACTGTACTCAGAAGATGAATTACCAGCAGAGTTCAAGCTTTACCTTCCTGTACAGCAAAAGAAATAATTAAAATCTTTAATTACATTTATTAATTGTACTTTATATACATAAGAGACCAACCATTCCTGTTCAAAGACCTACAAAACTACAATGTAACTACTCCAGAATAAAGGAATGATTATATAATAAACATATTGATGAATATTATTAATTACAATTGTTTCAGAGAAAAAATTGCATATTGCAATTTATGTTAAAAAAAGAAGGGGGAAAAAAAAACTATCATTTTTGCCCCCCCCCCCCCCCCCCCCTTTTTTTTTTTTAAATTAGAAATACAATTTTAACATATATGGAAACATCTGTTATATATCGATTATTAATAAAAATTTTAAAAGTTCAATTTTAAAATATGGTGCTTATTATTTGTAAAAGATGTTAAAAAAAGCATTTGGTTGTTTATCACTGTATATTATTGAAAAGAAAGAATCAAATCATGTAATCAGCTAGATTTAGATTTAATTAAGTTAAATTAAAATATCAGAAAATATTTCGTAAACAATATTACAGCTCCGGTAGAAATAAGCAATCCTTTTATTTGTTGCTTTAAAGATGGATTAAATAAATACAAATGTTGTATGATCATTTTATTGAATCTACTAAGATATATAAACATTATTGAAGTTATTGTTATGTTAATTTGCTTTTATTTGTATTATACTTTTGATTTTGTTCATTGTTTATATTCAAACCAGTCCATTAGGCATACACATCTGTTTAAATGAACTGTGTAGAAGGAATGATGTGCGAATGACTTGGTTCAAAGCATTGTTTGAATCTTTAACAGCTTTTAATGTTGTGTGTTGTCAATTAGCACATATCAAAATTTGTTTTTAGGTTTTGAAAATTTACTAAATGCTAAATTAAAAACACTCAAATTAATTATATATTTTATTTTTGCTAGAATTGGGTGTTAATTGAATATATAGATGTACACATCTATAGACCAGTAGTGGTATTCTGATTTCTGAAAATCAGTATTTTAG